CAAGGGCTTTCCATGGACACTAAGATCACCCAAAACGGAGTTCGTACGAAGGAGATATGAGCAGGTCAAGTTGGCGGGTCGGGTGGAGAAACCGGGTTTGGCCAGTTCTCTCATTCTCCCTTCCCTCATTTCCCTCCATTTTCTTTTCTCTGATTGGTCACCCTCTCACTCCCTCATTTTCTGATTAAGCAGCGCCCACCTCCTTTCTCTCCTTTATCTCATCTCCCAACCGACCATCACTATTTTCTTTTAATCTGGGCCACACACGTGGCACCCAGATTTCTCTAAAAAAATGTGAAATTTTCTTGAAATTAATTAATCAACTAAAATGCCCTCAACTTTAAACATTAATATCTCATTCGTTAGAAATCCAAATTGCACTCCATTTGCACCCTCGCATCCGTAACGACGAGTACTACGAGAATATGCCAAGAAAATGAACCTTATGTGGACATGGTAGTCAACAAAAGTCAACACTTTCCCTTGAAGGGCATTTTCGTAAATTCACTTTTTGAAATTATAAAAATCATATTTTTAGGGACAGGCTGTTACAATTTATTGTAACATTCCACATCGCCCAGGGAGTGGATCCTCTAAGCCTTATATGTATATTCTCATCTCTACTTAGCACGAGGCCTTTTGGGAGCTCACTAGTTTCGGGTTCCGTAGGAACTCCGAAGTTAAGCAATTTTGCGCGAGAGCATTCCCATGATGGGTGACCTACTGGGAAGTTCTCGTGTGAGTTTCCAGAAACAAAATCGTGAGGGCGTGGTCGGGGCCCAAATCGGATAATATCATGCTACGGTGGAGTCAAGCCTGGGATGTGGTGGTGGCTCAGGCGGGGATGTGACATTGTTACATATATTTGGCACATTTTATTATTATAAGATATATATACAAATAATAGGTAAAATAATCTTGAATAAAATACAATTGCTTTATTTTGTAAGTAAATTAAATTTGAATCAAATAACATTTCTTCAGTATGTAAGTATTTTATTTTGTATGTATCATCATATATATTGGGCACATTTTATTATTATATGTACAAATAATATGTAAACTAGTATTGAATAAAATAATAACATTTTTTTTTACATTTATATTATTTTGCATATATTTGGGTTTGCTTTATTATGTAGGTAATGACACACCCCCACCGAGATCAAGGCATGCTGGTCGTCACATGAGAGTGACATAGCCATGTCCACAGTGCGGAAGCAATAGAGATAAGAAATATACGAATAATTAATAATCGAATTACTAGAGTGCACTACTAAACAGAAAGTGATAGGAGTTAGTTACAACAGTAAACACTCCTAATCAGAGCATAATAAGTCTAGGTGCAGTCCAGTTGGACAAGTACAAGTTATACAGTACCAGGAATGTCCTACTATTATTTAGGTAGGTTAGAACTGCCGACACCCTCAAGCCACCAACAGCAAACTTACTTAAAACCTGGAGGGATGCAAAACAGAAAACATGAGTGGGGCAAAAACAAATGTTTTACAAAATCATTTCATTTATCAACCTAACCCCTCTCTGTAAAATATGTATAATTTTTCCCATAATCAAGATATAAGCATATACATAAATATGTATGAAATCATATCAATTCAATTCATGTATCAAATAATCATAATCATATATATATGCCATGCCAAGATATAATAGAGTAAGCAATTCAGGTAAGGATAATTTCATAGAAATATAACATGTGAGCCAGAACCCCTATGGTAGTTTGTACGACTTAATTCATAGCTCCAAAAGTACTGGAGTCACTACTATGACCTATACGGCAATATACTGCACAAGAGTCTGAACCAAACAAAAGGTCTATACGACAATAATGGGTGTCATACAATCATGCTCAATACTACTCTCACATAATAGCTGGGCAATAAATCGCTAGTCACCTACGAGTCAGAACCATAAATAAAGTCTGTATGATAAGACTGTGCACCTAAATTGGATCCAATATGAGCATATGGTGCGGGATGTGACATAATAAACAGGCATGTGCCATATCTATGGCTAAATCACAATCACCCTAAGTGCAGTTTTATGAGCTCAACATTATTCAATCACATATTACCTCATCGATGATTCACATAACCAAACACAACTTACCTAAGCTTACCTGAGCGTCCACAGCACCGCATTTATATATATACATAAAGCATCACATACCAATTCATGTATAAATTATAAACTTATATGCATGGCATTATGGCATACTATCATTTAAACACATTTTTTTTTTGGGAAAATATCAAGTATATAATATATACTGAAAACCAAAAGCCCACTCACTGAGATGTCGAAGGGTCGTAGCCCTTGAGTTGCCCTTGGATACGCTCGTCCTCGGGATACGTCTCACCTATATGCGAATTGACTATAAAAACATTATTTTAAAGCACATAGGTAAAACTAGCTAATAAATTATCATACAAAGCTCAATTTTGGTATTTGAATATACCAACGTGACCTACACAACCTCACGAACATCGTGATATTTTTAAAATAATTTTTATGTGGCTTACGCGCCCTCACGCGCTGGGGAGGGCACGGTTTCATGCGTATCATCTTCAACCTCCAGACGCCAGAACAGTGTTGCTTGCGCCGGATTCTGGGTAGACCTGTAACTGCCTTTTTCTCGTTCGTTTTTGCACCATTTTCCACAAAATTTTCACAAAAAATGCCACAAATGACGAGAATAAGAAGATTATACCTCTTTGGAGCTTCAAATCCCTCGAAAACTCATCGGGAAAATCCTACCAAAACCGGTCACCTTCGAACCTCGTGATCCCGACGTCAAAACCGAGCCAATGAAGCACTCCGAGCTTTGTGAGAACCTCCTAGAGCTTGCTGTGAGCTTGGATTGTCCTAAAACACAACCATTCCAAAAGTTCATGAATAGTGCTCAACTCGGAGCTTGAGTTTTCAACGTGATATCGGACGAGTTCTTACCTGAAATTGGTACCTTTGAACTCGTAATGGAACAAAGAACACAATGGTGTGCTTCACACCCTCGATCTATGAAGATTTGGCTTGGTCCAAGGTTCTCCGTACGGAGGAGAGAGAGGAGAGAGTGAGTCCGAGAGAGAGAGAGTACGAGAGAGAGGAGAGATAAAGGGTATGGATGTGTGAGTGGTTCCAAAATGCACACCAATCAAAACTCTTTAATCTTTTAGTTCTAATTGGGTCCAATTAGTTAGGGATAGAACTAATTGACCCAATTTCTTAACCCAAAATACAAACACACACCCGACGCTCAAGGGTAAATTCGTCTTTTCACAACCACGATAATTATTTCTCGGGACGGGCTGTGACAAGTAAATTATTTTGCATGAATTTTTATGTATATCAGGCATGTTTTTTTGTTGTTGTTATATGTATATATGTGTGTGTGAAATAATTTGCCTACATTTACATGTAAAATATAATTTTATTGACTTAACTAAGCATGTATTACTACATTTATTAGCCATGTTTTATTGTTATTATATATTATGTAGTTAATTTATTATTTTTTTATATTTGTAAAATCATTAATTCTCCCTTACAATTTGTATAGAATTAATTATGTAAATCAAACATTTAAGTAGGGATGTTTTGGGCATAAAAAATTTTTAAATGTGTAAAATCAAATGTAATTAATTAAGAGTGTTACTAAACCCACCCTATTGTCTTATTTTCGCACCCACATTATAAATTCACCCACTATGAAATATTAAAAAATTAATATGTTATTTCTACACCAACCATTATTCCTAAAATAACCTTTAATATTTCTAAATTCTTGTTTGATTTAAAAAAATATTAAAAAGAAACAATCGACCTCTCATACTCGCCATCGAAGAGAGCGAAACAGGAGGGGGACGAGGAGAAAGAAGCAGGGGAGAGACAGAGAAAGGAGGGACTAACAAACTAAATGATCGGAGAGAGATGTGAGAAATAGGTCGGAGGTTGGATGTCTTTCTCCTAGTACTCCCTTTCGTGTAGGTGCATGTGCTCTTGAATCTGGTTATGTCCAGGTTGACCGACACGTAAGTCTCGGCCCCTCCCTCCTTCTTCTGCAATTCATAGTCTTAGTCCATTTCCATAATCCCTAATTCCATGAGTTGAATTGTGGCTTTTTTTTATTTTTTTTTATTTTTTTATATTTTTTTTATCAATGTTGTTGGAGATCTCCAACTTCCTTGATTCAATATTGATTGAGACGGGGGATAGAGAAATAGGGTAGGGAGGGGAAAAGTTTGCTTGGCCAATTTTAGTTTTCTTTTTTCTTTTTTTATTATAAGAGTAAATTGTAGCTATAGTCCCTGAACTTTACTCAAATTGGAGTAATGGTCCTTCAACTAAAAATCCATTACCATTGGTCCTTCAACTCATTAAAACGTGCAGCTATGGTCCCTCAACTAAAAATCCATTACCTTTGGTCCCTCAATTTTAATTCAACTGGAGAAATTGTCCCTTAATTTTATCCCAATTGTAGCTATGGTCCTTCAAATATAACTCGTTTTGACAAAATTTTTTACGTAGTTGACAAAAATGACCATAATTACACACTTTGATGAGTTAAGGGACCCTAATTAAATAAATGGTTATTCCAACATAACATATTTTGACAAAATTTTGAAGAAATTAATGAAAAAGACTATAACTACACATTTTGATAAGTTGATGGACCAATGGTAATGGATTTTTAGTTGACGGACCATTGCTCCAATTTGAGTAAAGTTCAGGGACCATTGCTACAATTTACTCTTATTATAACTACAATAACATCATAATGAATTTATAAATAAGGGTCTAAAAGTCTTTTTAATAAGAGTAAATATATCATTAATTTTTTTATAAAAAAATGGGTGAAGAAATAAGATATTAGAGTGGACTTTGTACCACTCGGAATTAATTTGCTGATGTAAAATCTAGTAAATGAGTTTTATTCCAATAAAAAACTTATATCAGGTTTTAAATGAAAAAAATTAAGTTTCAATGACTAAGACTTTCAAAAGAAAAATAAAGACTAGTTCAGCTGCTTCAGCATATCCCTTCCAAAAGCAAAAGCTCTCTCTCCGTTCTTCTCTGAACAGATCCCACCCAAAATACAATTGCTTCTTTTCCTTACCTGTTCCGTTGTTCAAATTGAAACCCAGCACGGGCAGCCGACAGGTCCTGTACCCAAAATACTATTTCTTCTTCTCCTTACCTGTTCTACTGTTCAAATCGTAACCCAGTTACCCAGCACCAGTAGCCAGCACACTTGCAGTTGCAGACAACGCAACCAACACAGTTGCAGACGACGGTCGACGGTGAAGCTCTCTCCCAGTCTTCTTGTCCTCTAAAAACGTTTCCAGACAGTCGGATTCGCATATAGTAAGCGTATCGACGACGTATCCGGAGGCCAACTAGTCAACGGATACGTTCACATACGTATCCGGCGCGTATCGGGCCGGAAATTACAGAAGTAAAAAAATGGAAGGTATATTCGACAAGCACGCAGAGGTTTACTTGGTAGGAAGGCCAACTTATCCCAAGGAATGGTTTTCCATGCTGGCTACTCTCTCACCAAATCATTCTTTAGCTTGGGATGTCGGCACTGGCAATGGCCAAGCTGCTTTTTCTGTGAGCACTTTCTCTTAATTTCCGAAACTTCCATAATGCACCGGTGTATTGGAAGACTAGATTTTGAAAGTCTGAGTTCAAACACCGATGAATCACATGATGAAAATAAGAGTACTAATTTTGTGCTGTGTGTCTGTACTTTCTGCAGCTTGGAGAGCATTATGAGCAAGTAATAGGGACTGATATGAGTGAGTCCCAACTGAAGCTTGCACTCCAACATCCTCGAGTTCGTTACGTTCACACTCCGATGGCCATGTCTGAAGACGATTTGGTTGAGTTAATAGGGGGAGAAAACTCAGTTGATTTGGTGACCGCGGCAGAGGCCGTGCACTGGTTCGACCTCCCAAAGTTCTACTCGGTCGTCAAGCGCGTTTTGCGTAAGCCAGGAGGCGTAATTGCAGTTTGGGGCTACAACGATAGCGTAACAGACCCCGAACTTGACGATGTATTGAAGCGTTTTCGCGAAGCATGTAAACCGTTTTGGGACCCGAAGATGGACTACTTGTGGGAAGGGTATAGGACACTTCCATTTCCATTTGAGAGCGTTGGTTTGGGTTCTGAAGGTCGGCCTGCGCCACTGGAAATGCCAAAGGAGACGTCATTTGAAGGGGTGGTGAGGATGTTAAGGTCCTACTCTGGAGTCAATGCAGCTAAAGATCAAGGTGTGGATTTGTTATCACAAGAGGTGATTGAAGAGCTTCAAAGAGTTTGGGGTGGCCCTAACTTGGTCAGAAAAGTTACTACCAAGGCATTTATGCTTGCCGGAAAAGTGTAGGCTGTAATTTTGGAATTTGAACTTTTAGTGACCGAAACCCTAATAAGATGGACTAATCCACATCTTGTTATATTGGGAATGAATTACATGCACATGTTTCCTTATATAAGTATGTTTTTTTTTTAGCGTACCTGGTAAAAAAAAAAACTCTTCTGGCGTCACGTATTTGCTATACACGAGAGTTCATCTTTTAAATTCATGATAAAAGTCCTACAAACTTCTTTAAAATTCGTATGAAAATTCACTCAAAATTGATTACTTACATTGATCTCTTAAAATTCTTCAAACTTTCTCTTAAAATAATCGGTTATCGTCGTAATTGATATTGGATCTCTTAAAATTCTTCAAAATTTCTGCTCTGAATCTCTAGTGAGGTTCTCTCTTTCGGTACAACAGATCCTTGGCCAAGAAAGAAAGGCACTGAAATTAAACGAAAATAAAAGGTGACAGAATCCAACTCTTTTTAAAAAACTTTTGAAGTTTTTTTTTTTCTTTCAGGAAAGTGCTTTCAGTTCTTCAAAAAAGAAAGTGCTTTCAAAACAAACGAGTCCAAACAAATCTGAGAAGCGCACTGCGCCACACATACCTTGAAGTTGAGCCCACTTTACGCCTCCAGATAGGCGGTAGCGAAATGGCACCAAAAAACCACCTCGATTCTTCAACCGGGCAGTCCTTGAGCTAGCAATCCTACGGTCAGGAATCCTGCCCGCCAATCAAAAATCTCACGGGCAGTAGATCATTCCAGAACCCATCCACGTGGCATCACCTAACCCTCACTCTCTCTCTCTCTCTCTCTCTCTCTCTCTCTCTCTCTCTCTCCCGCGAAAAGAACCCTTCTTCTACTTCTCTTATCTCCTCACTTCACTTCGCCTCTCTCTCTCTTCGCTCTTCTCCTTCTCCCAATCCGCAGCGGAAGGATTAGGGTTTCTGTACACACAGTAAAAAACCCTAATTTCACCTGAGAGCTCTCACAAATGGCTTCCGCGCAAATCAATGTCCTCAGCACAGCGCCCAATTTCACAACCCCGAGGACGGCGTTTTTTGGCCAGGGACTGGGCAGGACGACGCCGTTGAAGGCGTTTGTGAGCCTTAGACCCAACGGCATCAGAAGGGTCGGACCGCTCCGGATAGTCAATGAGAAAGTAGTGGGAATCGATTTGGGGACGACGAACTCGGCCATTGGGGCTATGGAGGGCGGAAAGCCCACCATAGTTACCAACGCTGAGGGTCAGAGAACGACGCCGTCCGTAGTGGCGTATACGAAAAACGGGGATAGGCTTGTTGGTCAGATTGCCAAACGACAGGCCGTCGTGAATCCGGAGAACACCTTTTTCTCGGTGAAGAGGTTCATTGGAAGGACTATGTCTGAGGTGGATGAGGAGTCGAAGCAGGTGTCGTACAAGGTTGTAAGGGATGCGAATGGGAATGTCAAGATTGACTGCCCTGCTATCGGGAAGCAGTTCGCTGCCGAAGAAATTTCAGCTCAGGTATAACTTTTTGCTGACATTTTGGGTTATTTTTTATTGCTTCTCTGTTTTTGGCAATGGGATGTTGAAAGTTTACAAATTTGAATGAGGGTGAAGTTCGTAGAGTAATCTGTGGTGTTATTATGTTTTAATTTGTTTAAAAGTATGATTTTTGATGTTATTTGTTGGAAGTCAATGGTGATCGTACAATTGCACGGTGTTGTTTTTCGGTTTTGGTGATGGGTGTTGCGAAATTTATCTACGGGTCTGTTCGGGCGATGGGAAAATTAAGGGAAATGAATAAGGTTAATGGTAATTTTGTTTTGATGGTGGTTTGTGGAGATTGTAGAACTTGCCTTGAAGGAAGCTCTTGAGTAGAATTAGACTCAACTGTGCTTCAGTGCTTAGAAAATTGTGTGAATAGATAACCGGATATGAACATCCAATTTCAGTCTTAAGGAAACGATTTGTTATTGTCTACTAATACGAATTTGTGGAACATTAAAACATTAAGGCATTTCCTGTTTACTTTTCCGAATTGCACTATTTGTGTGATTCAGCTAACAGAGTTTGGTTAACTTTTAAAACCGATGTAGTGCTTTGATTGTCTTATTCTTTATCTCCTTTTATTGCTGGTGTAGGTGTTGAGGAAGCTTGTGGATGATGCTTCAAAGTTTTTGAATGATAAAGTTACTAAAGCGGTGGTCACTGTGCCTGCTTACTTCAATGATTCTCAAAGAACTGCTACAAAAGATGCTGGCCGCATTGCCGGGTTGGAAGTTCTTAGGATTATAAATGAACCTACTGCTGCTTCTTTAGCATACGGTTTTGACAGGAAGAACAGTGAAACTATCTTGGTATTTGACCTTGGAGGTGGTACTTTTGATGTCTCAGGTACATTGTATGTTATTGGGATATGTTCTCTAGCTATTACTTCCATACTCCATACAGATGTTGGTTTGCGTGTTTTGTTTGATCTATTTTATAAACTTTTTCTAACTTGCTCTCCTTCCATTACAGTACTTGAGGTTGGTGATGGTGTGTTTGAAGTGCTATCTACATCAGGAGATACACATTTGGGTGGTGATGATTTCGATAAGGTTAGGATTTTCTATTTCTTTTCATTTTTATTATGCCATGGCCATTCACTTGAATCCTTTTATATTAAAAAAGTGTTTCCTTTGGGCTAAGTTTAGAGGCCTAAATAATGAGACGGTTCTGATAATGTTGCTATTTTGCAGAGGATTGTTGACTGGCTTGCTACAGACTTCAAAAGTAATGAAGGAATAGACCTGTTGAAGGATAAACAGGCTCTTCAGCGACTGACAGAGACAGCCGAGAAAGCCAAGATGGAGTTGTCATCTTTGACTCAAGCTAACATTAGGTATGTATGTTGCCAATATCTGAGAACCTTCATTAGTCCGAAGCATTTTTTAGCCATTGACTATTCTCTGTGATCATCCATCTGGGCTGTTTTCTAACAATGCTCTATTGCTGATGATTGTTTTGTTCCAGTCTGCCTTTCATTACTGCGACTGCTGATGGGCCGAAGCACATTGAGACAACCCTTACAAGGGCAAAGTTTGAGGAGTTGTGCTCAGATCTGCTTGACAGGTGTGAATTTTTGTTTCAACTTGTTATGAGATTGTGGATATATGCATATTTGATTCTAGCTCTTTGTCTTACAATCGTCTTGCAAATTTCAAGATATCGTCTTTGATGTCTAGGGTTGTAGAATGTTTTCTTGTTTCTATATTTAGTGGTATAATTTTTGGTTCTATGAAACCAGGGAATATTTGATTCTAAATTAACGTTATCATTTTGTTGATATTTTAGGCTTAGAACACCGGTCGAAAACTCCTTGAGGGATGCAAAGCTTGCCTGGAAAGATATAGATGAGGTGATACTTGTTGGTGGTTCAACACGTATACCAGCTGTACAGGAGCTTGTAAGGAAGGTGACAGGGAAGGAACCAAATGTTACAGTTAATCCTGATGAAGTTGTCGCCCTAGGAGCTGCAGTTCAGGTGGGTCTCTATGATTTCTTTTTACAGTGTGCTGTGTCCTTTGTTATGACAATTTTTGTGAAGTTATGGTTTTTTTTTTTTTTTTTTTTTTTTTTTTTTTATGTTTATTATTTTATATGGGACAGTTTCAGTTGTTATTGTCATATTGACCTGTGATACCTTTTTTTTTCCTTGATCCTAGGCTGGTGTATTAGCCGGAGATGTCAGTGACATTGTGCTTTTGGATGTGACACCACTGTCACTGGGCTTGGAGACCCTTGGTGGTGTCATGACTAAGATCATCCCAAGAAATACAACTCTACCTACCTCCAAGTCGGAGGTGTTTTCAACTGCTGCTGATGGGCAGACAAGCGTTGAGATTAATGTCCTTCAAGGGGAAAGAGAATTTGTTAGAGATAACAAGTCTCTTGGGAGCTTCCGGTTGGATGGTATACCTCCTGCTCCACGAGGGGTTCCTCAAATTGAAGTCAAGTTCGACATTGATGCCAGTGGTATTCTATCTGTTGCTGCTGTGGACAAGGGCACAGGAAAGAAGCAAGACATCACCATTACTGGTGCCAGTACCTTACCTAGTGACGAGGTTAGCTGACCAGCAAATTGTAAATTTGTCAGATTTGTGATATTAGATTTGGAACTACTTGTTTGTATTTTTAAGTCTTGAATTATATTGAGGGAAATGTCTGCAAATGTACAGGTGGAAAGGATGGTTAGTGAAGCCGAGAGGTTTGCACAGGAGGACAAGGAGAAGAGAGACGCCATCGATACAAAGAACCAGGCTGATTCTGTTGTCTACCAGACAGAGAAGCAACTGAAAGAGCTGGGAGACAAGGTTCCAGCTGAAGTTAAAGCAAAGGTCGAGGCAAAACTTGGAGAGCTCAAGGAGACAGTCTCAGGGGGTTCAACTCAAGCCATAAAAGATGCCATCGCTGCCCTTAACCAGGAAGTGATGCAGCTTGGCCAGTCACTTTACAACCAGCCCGGCACTCCTGGCGCTGGTGCAGGGCCAACTCCACCCGGTGCTGAAGCTGGTGGGCCTTCAGAATCATCATCCGGCAAGGGACCTGACGGAGATGTTATTGATGCAGATTTCACCGACAGCAAGTGAGCAGGACTGTTGGACAGAAGTCAAGTGCCATTCTTGCTTATTTTGTTCAGATTGAATGTGGATGTAAGAATGATTTTGCTGGGATGGGATCGTGGTGTCGGGGGTTGCTGTGTCATTTTTGTTTTACGGAGAATGAGAAACAATGTCCTTTAGATGGCAAAGGACTAGTTAGTTGAAATTAATTAGGGGACTTGAGAAGAACGATAACAAAACAATAGGGCGATTAGATCCCTCGCAAATTGTTTAAGCATCGATTGATTTAAATGCAGATGAGCAATAAACTTGACTGAACCTCTATATATGTCTGTACTTGTTCCAGTATTGATACTTGATGGATAGTTTCTCTTTTATCTTTGCAATATTTCTTTCATTCACACGAAAAAAGAACAGGCACCGTATATGCATTCAGCAGTAAAAACCAACACCAATAGTAACAAACCAACAGAGACTATCTGGGACTTCGAGGGAGGCTCTCGTCCTTTTCTGCTTCATCCACCACCGCAGCCGCCACCACTTAGTCTTAGTGATGATCTAGGACTATTTTTGCTACCAGTAGGGTAGTTGTAAGGAATCGAATTTTGGGCATGCCCAGTAGAAACAGCAGGGCCCATCAACGAGCCCCGTGCGCTCCCGGACTCAGACCTGACTGGCGACGAAGGAGGTGGTGTCCTAATCCCTAGGTGGTGTGCTCTTGCACCAAGCGAAGACTGGTACGCATGGTGGTGGTGGTTCTGGTGGTAATTAGGGTGATGGTGACGCCCTTGAGCATGGCCTTGATATGCACTGCAAATACTCGGCGAGCTGTGCACTTTATGCATTGGAGGCGTAAGCAAGAACCGGTGACCTCCCATGGTTATGTCACCCACAAGCGCGTGCTGTTCTGGGGATACTGATGTGGGCGATGAACACGCCGAAGATATGCTGAGGCTGCCCATGGGGCTACTTGCGATGATCATCGGGGCAGTCGGAGCATTCTGCTGCTGTTGGGGCTGCATTTTCGGTGGTGATCGAATGATTCCATTGACGGCGTCAATGTAACGCTGCTCCAGCATTTGGTGTTCCGACGACGGGGTTGGACTCTCGATCACCACTGGCTTGGACGGGAACAAGAATGTTCGCAGCTTCGGGCTCCCTTCGCTCTCTTGTCGATCATATTCGTCGAGCATGTGCTTTAGATCCTCGTCGCTTTTGACGGAGACCAAGGCGTCGAGATCCTCCGTGACTAGCTGGTATTTCAGCACCATCTCCCCATCAGACAATGTACTCACCTTTTTCATCAACTCTGTCACGTAGATAATGTAATGTTCTTAAAAAATTCGTAAATTTGTTAAAGCAGAGGAGGTTCCGAATTCAAATCTCATGAAAGTTCGATACACCCTGAAATTCAAGAGGAATAGACTAACAAAATGTGCACCTGCGAACGTAATGCTGCGAGACAATGCGACGACGCGAGTCTCCCCTCCGACGTACTTGAGGTGGCTGTCGGCGGGCCTGGGTAGGATTCTGCCACCATGGCTGCACAAGAACTTGACCCTGTTTCTGGGGGAGGACGGCGCGTCACTATCACCACCGCAACTACCGCCACCATTACCGCCAATTTCACCCGCCATTTTTCATGTCAAATTATGTCATGTACGTATTATTGTATTAACTGATCATATAAATTAGTTATAATGTAATAATCAACCCAGCGTTTCTGCAACTGCAACCCCCTCCCCTCGACCTTGAATCGCCGTCACGAAAAGCCCCCGGAATCTGCAACGACGGCAATCAATCAAAACATCAAAATCCGATTTCGAAAAAAAATACAATTATATTTGTTTGTTTGTTTTTTTTATTAATTTAGAAATTTATATCATTTTAATTTTAAAAAAAGGTTTCTATATGCTTAATTGGAGCTTACTCTGTACGGAAGAGGGGAGGCGCAGTTGAAAGACAAAAGAGGGAAGAACAAGATTGAATTGGGGAGTGATATTTTTTGAACAATGAAAAGAAGAATCCAAAAATAGCGGGAGAGAGAGAGAAGCATGTTGTTGGGTTTCTCTTGAATGAGAGTTTCTACGGATTTCCCTAAATTTCTCTCTTTTGTACGAGAATAAAAATGACTTACATAGAACGAAAGCATTAATACTTTTAGTTTCATACACATTTGTTTTCACTCACCGACCCACAAACATTTTGTATGTGGTCCGTTTTATTAGGGATTGGTTGTTCTTCTCGAAAATTATGACTTTTTGAATGTTACTATGCTAGGCCATCCATCCGTCTTATTTTCTCACTCATCTGTCTTATTTGTTTATCTATTAGAGCAAGTCCAGCCCTCTCTTTTAGGCTGGCCCAAAGCCTACAAAAATAGGCTGGCACCCAAAAAAACCCCTCGGTAGCTCAAAGTCCAAGTCAGTTTGTAGGCCCATCCAAAATGAGCTGAGGTAGGAACCGGCCTATCTGGCGTCATGCTGACGCCAGCATGACGTCAGTGGACAACACAAATTTTTTTGCGTTAGGCGCGTGGGAAACATGCACCTGAGGCGCACTAAAGGGGCGCAGGACATGGGCCATGTGGTTAAGCCTCGGTTGTTGGATTTCCAACAATAAAAAAATTTTGAAATTCAAACCCAATGGTTAGTGACGTGGCACAATCTGGACCGTTCGATTTTCAAATCAACGGTCTAGATTTTTCGGTCAAAAAACTTCTAAAAAAAATAAATAAAATGTCAGAAATTAATTATATTTTTTTATAAATAAAAAATGTCAGAAATTAAAAATAAAATTATTTTTTTAATTATTTTATAATAATATTTTAATAAAATAGACTAGGTTATTTAGGTTTAGGGATGGAGATGCACTTGGCCAATTACTATTCATTGTAGTCAATTACTATTTAAATGGACTTTGGACCAGCTCATTTTTTAGGGATGGAATTGCTCTTAGATTTTATTGCTAGTTACTTTTTGTGTTTAGGGGCCAACAAAGGACCGTCTACTTGAAGAAAAAGTTAGTCGGACTCTTATGACGATATATTTTGATCAAATTAAATACAATATATATTAAATGGTTATGCCAATAGACTTAAGTTTAATCAAGTTGGCTAATATATACTCGAGCATTGCGCTCATCTCTCTACACCTAAGTTCGAGACTCCGTCCCAACAATACAGATGAAGTTTAGCGTAGAACCAACCAAAATAAAATAAAAAAATCACCAAGGGGATGTATGCGTGTCAACTAAACGGCATAAACCCACGAAACAATACGGCATCGTTCCATTTTTTTTTTTATTGGTCAACATACGGCGTCGTTCTGGTACAAAGAAAAGAAATAGTTTCACATCGTCTTCTTCCTCGCGAAGACCTCTGCACCTCAACCAAGCGCTGCCGCCTTCTGCAATTGCGCACTGCACACGGCGCCAATTGAGGCTATAATCCGACCAAAACTACACCGTTTTGATTATATTTATTTCCTCCTCCTCTTCTTCTTTCATTCTCTCTGGAGCAGAACTCAGTCTCTCAGTTTCCACTGAACCAAAACGACACCGTTTGAGGGAGAGAGAGAATTGTGCCAAGGAAGAAAAGAAGAATGGATATGGAAGCACAGAGGTTTGTATGGGACGGAGCAATTCCTCTGCAGATTCATCTCCATGAATCCGACGTCGCCACTCTTCCTGCTCCCCCACCTGCCCTGGTACTAAACCTCTATGTACACACACGTCGCCTATCTTCCAAATTTCCGATTATGCCCCTGATTCCCCTCCTATTTTACTCTGATTGTTGCTCTTTCTGTAACAGATCTTAGCTCCTCGGATTGGATACCTGCCATTGTTGGCCTCACTTCTAAAACCTTACTTCAGCTCTGCACTCCCTCCTCGCTTAGACACCATTTGGTTCGAGTACAAAGGCTTGCCTTTGAAATGGTATGCACCGATTTCCTCTTTTTCTATACCCGAAAATTCGGTTTTGCTACAATGCTTAATTTGCTGGTTTTTGTATATGGAACAAAGTGATGATCTTGATATGCCATTTGATTTTTTATGTTAGTGACTGTTAGTATAATTTGCACTAAATTTTTGGTTTTTCTCTAATTGTTGATGCCCTTTTGGTTCTTTATATGATCTCACATGCCCGTCTAATGTTCGCAGCGTGCAAGAAGTTTGTGTTTTGAAGTGACTGAGGGAGGAAAGAGTGAATTAATAGCGCTGGATGCTTTCATAGGTTGTTAGATTCGTGTTAGTTTTATTTGTTTTCGTAACGTTGCAAGAGCTTCTTGCAGGTATATACCGACAGGAGTTCTGTTTGATCTTCTATGTGCGGAACCAGAAAGACCTTGGAATCTCACGGTAAATATTTTTTCTTATTGATTTATCTTTTTTCATCGCTATGTTTAAAATTGATGAGCATGTCATTAGTTTCTGGGGAAATTTAGATAGAAACTTAGGAGGCAACTAGTCACAAAACAAAAATGGAGAATTATGAACAAAAATCCTACCCATGCTTGGTTCTCATATATGTAAAAAGGAGATGGCTGGCTATCAGAAATCACATTTGTGCACCAAGTTTATTTCAGAAATTATTCTTGGTAAATGATTTTGGACATGATGGAGCCATTGGTACAATGAATAGTAATTGACTACAATGAATAGTAATTGACCAAAAGCAAACGCCTCTTCGATTTCTGGGTAGGAGATAGAATCATGGCAATCAAGATTGTAATAGGACAAGAACTTATCAATGTGATTAGTGCGTACGCACCTCAAGTAGGGTTGGATACGAGTACGAAGGAGAAATTTTGGGAAGACCTTGGAGACTTGGTGCAAGGAATTGCTCAGACGGAGAAGTTATTTATAGGAGGAGATCTAAATGGACACGTGGGCAGGGAGACAGGCAACTATGGAGGTTTTCATGGTGGCCATGGTTTTGGAGAGAGAAACGAGGATGGGGAAGCTATCTTGGATTTTGCAATGGCATATGATCTCTTCTTAGCCAACACCTTCTTTAAGAAGAGAGAAGAACATGTGATCACCTACAAGAGTGGGTCGTCAAAAACACAAATAGATTTTCTTCTAATGAGGAAAGGGGATCGTATAACTTGTAAGGATTGCAAAGTTATACCAGGAGAGAGCGTGGCTAATCAACATCGCTTGTTGGTGATGGATGTACATATCAAAAGAGGGAGACAAAAGAACAAGACTTGGAAGTGCCCAAGGACTAGATGGTGGAATCTAAAAGAAGAAAAACAAGCCATTTTCAAAGAGAAGGTAATCACCCAATGTGTGTGGGATAGAGAGGGAGAAGCTAGCCAAATGTGGGATTCCATGGCTAGTTGTATCCGAAAAGTAGCAAAAGAGGTATTAGGAGAGTCCAAGGGCTTTGCCCCACACCAAAAGGAATCTTGGTGGTGGAATGAGGAGGTACAAACAAAGGTGAAGGCTAAGAAGGAATGTTGTAAAGCCTTATACAAGGAGAGGACTGATGAAAATGGTGAAAGGTATAGAAAAGCGAAGCAAGAGGCGAAGAAAGCGGTCAGAGAAGCTAAGTTAGCGGCTTACGACGATATGTATAAACGACTAGATACCAAAGAAGGAGAGTTGGATATCTATAAACTAGCTAGAGCAAGGGAAAAGAAGACAAGGGACCTAAACCAAGTGAGGTGCATCAAGGATGAGGATGGAAAGGTTCTTGCTACAGAGAACGCGGTTAAAGACAGATGGAGAGGTTATTTTCATAATCTTTTTCAATGAAGGACATGAAAGGAGTGCTTCTTTAGGGGAGTTAAGTAACTCAGAAGAGTGTAGAAACTACTCTTTTTATCGTCGAATCCGGAAGGAAGAAGTGGTTGTAGCTTTGAAGAAGATGAAGCATAGAAAAGCAATAGGCCCAGACGATATACCAATCGAAGTGTGGAAAGTTTTGGGAGAGACAGGTATAACATGGCTCACTGACCTTTTCAATAGGATTTTGAAAACGAAGAAGATGCCAAATGAGTGGCGAACGAGCACTTTGGTGCCTATCTACAAGAATAAGGGCGACGTACAAAATTGCATGAACTATAGGGGTATTAAGTTAATGAGTCATACAATGAAGCTCTGGGAGAGAGTCATTGAGCATAGATTGAGGCAAGAGACACGGGTTTCGGACAACCAATTTGGGTTCATGCCAGGGCGCTCAACCATGGAGGCAATCTATCTCTTACGAAGATTGATGGAAAGATATAGAGATGGGAAAAAGGATTTACACATGGTCTTTATAGATTTGGAAAAAGCGTATGATAGGGTCCCAAGAGACATTCTTTGGAGGATCTTAGAGAAGAAAGGAGTACGAGTAGCATATATCCAAGCTATAAAGGATATGTATGAAGGAGCAAAGACTGCCGTAAGAACTCATGAAGGACAAACCGAAAGCTTTCCCATAACTGTAGGATTACATCAAGGCTCATCCTTAAGTCCTTACCTTTTTGCGTTGGTAATGGATGAGTTAACAGGACATATTCAAGATGATATTCCTTGGTGTATGCTTTTCGCAGACGATATAGTGTTGATAGATGAAACTCAGGAAGGGGTAAATGCAAAGCTTAACCTTTGGAGAGAAGTGTTGGAATCTAAAGGTCTTCGCCTAAGC